CAGCCCCCTCCACCCACTGCCGTGTGTCCCTCTTCCCCATCCCAACTGCACTTCTTAGGTGGCCTCTAGTCACTGCCTCCATTTCTTCCCTTCTCACTCCCGCCTCCACCCTCTGCAGTCTGGCTTCTGCCTCCTCCCCTCCCCGGAAACACCAGTCAGCAAGTCACTAGTCGCTTCCACGTCACTGAACCCACAGGACGTTCTCCGGGGCTCTCCTGAAAATCTGGAATTATCCGATATTGACACTGACGACATCTTCAGCTTCTGTGACAGATCCCACCTCGGGTCCCTCCCACCTCTCTGACTCCAGCTCTGTCTCTTTGCAGCCTCAATATTCTCTCCCAGGACACTAAATGCACGTGGGGCTCAAGTCTTGGTCCTGGGCCTTCCTGTCTCCCCCTCTCTGTCCTCCTCCCTCTTCTCTCTGTTGTTTTTCCAGCTTCCATGTCACCTACGTGCCACTGACCCCCAAAGTCACATCCAGAGGCCAAATGTGCCTCTGACTGCAGACCTGTGTACCCGGCTGCCTCTGTGACATCTCAGCCCGAGCGTGTCAGAGCCCTCTCCACCCCACATGCACAGAACCAGCCCATGATCGCTCCCGCCAGACCCCTGGCCCTTCTGGCACCCAGATCTCCACCCCCTTCCCTCTCCCTCCACTTAACTCCCCACCACGCTCTGTGCCTGTGGATCTTCTTCAGGTCTCCACACTCTGTCCTCTTCCCTCCGTGCCCAGGGCCACCATTGTCCTCATCCTTCTCACTGGAATTTCACACGTTCCCCGAGCTGGTTTCCCTACTGAAAGTACTTCAATAGTTTCCTTGCATGTTCAAATAAAGGTCACAATTCCTGGCCTGGCCTCAGAGGACCTGCGTGCTCTGTCTCTGTTCCTTCTCTAGCCTTGTCACCTCTCGGCTCCCCTTTCCTCTCAGGACTGACTGGCATCTTTCCACTGCCATCATCTTTGTTTCTCATACATGCCCTGCTCCCTCCTACTCCAGGACCTTTGCACATATTGTCCCCTGGTTGTTTTTAAAAAGAATTAATTTAATTTTTTTAAAATTTTTATGTAGAGATGAGATAGCCTTATGTTGCCAAAAGCAGTACTGAACTCCGGGCCTCAAAGGGCCTTCCCGACTTGGCCTCACAACGTGCTGGAATTACAGATATGAGCCACGTTTCAGACCTTTCCCCAGTTTCTGAAACAAGTCCTTGCCCCCTAACATCTACTCATCTCTTAAATTTCAGCTCCACATCCACTGCCTTAGAAAAAGCCTGAGGGTTCCTATAATGTGCTCTCAGCTAGCTCTCTTTCCTATACCTGATTATGCTTGTAAGTTTACATGTTTCCAGGTCATTATTTATTTATTTGTTTATTTTTTGAGACAGAGTCTCAGTCTGTTGCCCCGGCTAGAGTGTCTTGGCATCAGCATAGCTCACAGCAACCTCAAACTCCTGGGCTGAAACAATCTTTCTGCCTTAGCCTCCCGAGTAGCTGGGAGTACAGGCATGCGCCACCATGACAAGCTAAGCTAATTTTTTCTATATATTTTTAGTTCACCAATTAATTTCTTTCTATTTTCAGTAGACATGGGTTCTCGCTCTTGCTCAGGCTGGTCTGGAACTCCTAACCTTGAGTGATCTGCCCGCCTCGGCCTCCCAGAGTGCTAGGATTACAGGTGTGAGCCGCCACACCCGGCCTCTATGTCATTGTTGATTATTGGCCTCTCCTAGACTGTAAACTCCACAAGGGATGGCATGGTGTCTGTCGCTCCCATAGCCAGGAGGACAGAAGCTAGTCCCGAGTGACCTGGAGGGCGGCAGGAAGATGCTGGGGCCTAAGGGAAGTACTAGGGCAGGAGGGGCTGCCCTGGGCCGAGGTAGCCAAAGGTCCACTGCATACCTCAGCTCAGAGCCAGCCCGTTGCCATCATACCTGATTGCATCAGCCACCTCCTTGGGGTTCCATGGGGACACTCAGCCCAGTGGGGAGTCAAGCCAGAGTCACTTCACAGATGGACACGGGGGACAAGGAGGTGTCATATGTCTTCTAGAGGCCTCATTGCCTGTCAGAGAAAATGGACACTCTCCATGCCTGGGACAGAGAACAGGCCCTAATTCTACTTATCCCACTGTGGTAGTCAGTGCAGTGTCTCTGAAGTATTTTTGATAAGACCCGTACTGAGAAATGCATTTTTCATTATGACCCAGTACACACAGTCACAAACACACACATGACGGTGCTATGAAAGTTTCAAATAAAACCCTTACCACATATGATGCACTGTGATATTTTCTATTCTTTACTGTTTTATTAAAAAGACAATGCTTAATTTTAGAAACCACTAATACCTTTCAACTCACTGTTTCAAAGACACTGAATTAGGATGCTCAGATTGCAGGTGAGAGAGACTCACAAGAGCTAGTAAAAAACACGTGATTATCTATGATGGCAGAGAGGACAGTTACATGCGTATGTTAGGGGGACATTGACTGGGTTGCATTAGGAGGGAGCCTTCCAAGGGCTGGAAATGTCCTACATCCTGAACTGGGCACATGTACGCAGGCGTATGCTAAACATGTACAACATGATCCACACAGGTAAGATGAGTGTACTGTACTACAGTGTCACAGAGATGTGTCATGGACTCAAGCACAAAAGTGCACCTGGGCCTCAGGGTGGGACCGGACCCGGGGCAGCCATCTAGTGTGGTCACTGGAGTACAGGGCTGTGACCTCAGGCAGGTGCGAAACCTGGTCTGCTGCTTCATAGCTGGTGACTGTGGGAAAGCAGTGTCGCCTTTCTGGGCCCCACGTTCCTCATTTTGAACCCGGGGATGACGTACGCTAAGACGGTGCCATGGCTAGTGGATAGCAAGCCGTTGCTCTGCACCTTGCACGCCCGAGGTGTTCAGTAAGTGGGGATGGCGCAGACTGTCAGCGCTCCCTCCTCTCCCTCCCTGTGACCTGCTGCAGTGTCCCCTCTGCAGACGCCTTGCTCTGCTGTTCTGCTCCGCAGGGTGGAAAGTAGTGCTCTGTGGCTCCCAGTCCTCATGCCACAGTTCCAGCTACAACCGCACACTGTATGTTTCTCAGTCCCAAATCCAAATTCCTGAGAACCTTCCCGATAAAAGTTCTGCTTTTCTGCCTAGGAAATTTGGGATTTTGAGATGACAAGGTCTACCATGTTTCCTCCTTTACAAAGTAAACTCTTTTTCCTTCCTCCTCAAACTGCTTGTCCTCGTTTTTCTTATTTATTCTTGTGGACAAGTGGCCAGGCTTTCAGAAACACCATCCCTTTGAATTTTAGCCTCCACAACTGTGAGACAACAAATTCCTGTTGTTCTCGGTCACCCAGTGTGTGCTACTTAGTTTCAGCTGCCCTGGGAAGCCAGAGCAGGGCCAGTCCTTGTGGACGGAGAGAAGTGGCCCCCAGAGAAGGGACGGGGTGGCTCCAGTACAGGCAGACACCAAAAGAATGACAGATGTTCTCAGCAACCCCTTGTAGACCAGGGTCTCCTGCAGTGGCTTTCCTTACAGGTCCAGCCCACAGGGCTTGGTGACACAGCGTCTCCAGCCAGCTGTCCCCAAGTAGACTCCATAGAGCGCTGCTGCTCCCAGCACTGCATGGCCCCTGGAACTCTGCTCCCAAGGGTTCCTGTAGCACATCCAGCTTGCACTTCTGCCCCAGGCTTGGGGGTGGCAGACAGGGCGTGTGAGTGTGTATGGGACACGCAGTTGAGGGTCAGGCTTCAGAAGGGAAACACCAAAATTTCAAGTACAAACTTGCCTCCAATAGGGCCTGCATTCACATACGGTAGCACCTTTCTCGTTGCTGTCCAATTCCCAAGTATACCTTCATCAAATAATCATCAACAATCACTTATTATGTGTCCATTATTTCCAAGACACTGTGTTAAGCCTAGAGGGGATCTTTAGTCTTACTGAGGGACAGAAACAAAGACCTGATTACTTGGAGAGGCGTAGCACGCTCAAGAATGGAAAGTCTCAGTCTCATAAAGACGTCACTTGGGGCATATACAATTTATACTTAGAGTTTTTAAAAAAACATGTGTGGTATCAGACTATAAATATTGGTTTGCAATATCTTTCTCATTTAGCAGTATACCTTTGTGTGAACTCCATGTCAGTGCACATAGTAATTTACATACAGAACAGATGATGTGGAGATGTAGGCAAGGATGAAGATGAAAGGGAGCTCTTGTCCACTGTTGGTGGGAATGTTGATTAGGACAGACCAGCATGGAGATGTCTCAAAGAACTAAAAGGAGCCCTACCATATGATCCAGTCATCCCACTACCGGGGATCTACACAAAGGAGAAGAAACCCGTGTACTAACAAGATGCCTGAACTTGCATGTGTATCACAGCACTATGCACAATGGCAGACACACGGAACCCACCTACCCATCAATGGGGGATTGGATAAAGAAAATGTGGTATAGATACGCAATGGAATAGTATACAGCTATAAAAAGGAAGTCATGTCTTTGGCAGCAACATGGGAGGAACTGGAGGCCACTATCCTCAGTGAAACAAGCCAGGCACAGATAGGCACATACTGCACGTTGTCACTCATAAGTGGGAGCTAAATAACGCATGCACATGGAAGCAGGGTGTGGACGGATGGACAGGGGAGACTTGGAGGAGTGGGGGTGGATGAAGGAGGTTGAGTGGTGGGTACACTGTGCTCTGTCTCAGTGAGGGAAGCCCTGAGGCCCTGACGTAGGGCATCACCACAGTAGAATAGATCAATGTAAAAATTGCACTTATACCCCATGCATATGTACAAATAACAGACGAGCAAGAGCCCATCTTAACCCAAAATACAAAGATTAGCCAAGCATGGTGGCTCACGCCTATAGTCCCAGCTACTCGAGAGGCTAAGTGAGGAGGATTGCTTGAACACAGGAGTTTTAGGCTGCAGTGAGTTGTGTTGACACCACTGCACTCTAGCCAGGCAACAGAGCAAGACCCTGTCTCAAAAAGAAAAAAAAAAAAACAAACAACCGCTAAACGACAACAAACACTACAAAACCCACAGCCTTCTTAGCTCACTATCGCCATCTACCAACTACCCCCTTCTGTGTCTTCCTTTGCACCAGGTCACCCTGGATTTCAATTTCTCTTTCGTGGCAGTCTCTACTTCCTCACCACCCACCAGTCTCTCCTCACCACCCACCCTGACCAGTGGACACATTCCACTAAAGTTCACACCCTGCCAAGCCTCAGAATCCACACTTGCCAACACAGGACCACATTCATAATTTGCGGGTCCCAGTGCAAAGTCAAAATGTGGGGGCCCGTGTTCAAAGCTGCATTTGTTTCCTAGAGTTATTGCAACAAATTGCGATGAACTGGGCAGCTTAAACCAACAGAAAGTTATTCTCTCACAGCTCTACAGGTCAGATGACATGAATCAAGGCCTCAGCAGGGTGGGTTCCTTCTGGAGGCTCTGAGAGAGAGTCTGCTCCAGCCTCTCATCCACCTTCTTGTGGCTCCAGACAGCCCTTGGTGCACATTGGCCTGTGTCACATCACTCCAATGTTTGTCTCCATCTTCCTGTCACCAACTCTATGCATCTTTCCCCCTTCTGTTCACTTCTTAGGACACTTGTCACTGGATTTAGGGCATTCCCTAATTGAACACGACCTCATCACAAGTTCATTACCTTAACTACATCAGCAAAGACCCTTATTCCAAATAAGGTCACCTTCTGGGTGGACATATGTTGTGGGAGAGGGTCCATATCCACTGCAAAAAGCCAGTAAGATGGTCAAGACGGTCACAGAAGAGCATTAGAGCCATTGCAGGACCCTGCTGAGAGTGGGGCCCTGTACTACTGCACAGGCCACGCACCCATGACACCAGGGTGTGCCAGGGTCATCCATGTCCACCCTTCCTGTCGTCAAATTCAGCAGAGCTTCTGGTCTTCGTCTTACTGGGCATCTTTGCAGCATTGGACACAGTTGATTACTCTGTTCTCCTTGTGTCATTTGCTTCCTTTGGCTTCTGGGACACTCAGCTCTCCCAGTTTTCCTTATGTCTCCCTGGCCGGCCAGTCAGCCCTCGGTGCCTTCTGCTGGCCCTGCTGTCTGCATGCGCTACAGTCAGGAGGTTGGACAGCCATGGGGCTCGTGCTCGTGCACTTCTCTCTGTGCACGTGCCTCTTTCAGGGTCTCATGGGGTCCCAGGTCTTTCAACATCCCCTCTGCACAGACGCCTGCTGCTCTGACCTCTCCTCTGAGTTCCAGACACACAGACCCAGCTGCCGGTTCAACAGCTCCCCCTGGTGGTCCAACAGGCTTCTCCAACTTAGCACATCCTCAATGAAGTCAACCCTGTTGCTTGGGTGAAAATCTTCCAGTCATCTAGTGCCTGTATTTCGACGCTGCAGTATCAGCACACGCTTTACATCCCACCTAGAATGAGATCTCCAGTCCCTGCAATGGGCCACAAGGTCCTTTGTGAGAACATGACTGAGTCCTCCCCTCCCTCACCCACCTCATCTCCTACCAGTGCCACCCCAGCCCATCTTCACTCTTGCTGCTTAGTTACACCAAGGTAACACTAAGCATGTTCCTGCCACAGTACCTTTGCACCTGCACCTCCTACGGCCCACCTGATCTCTCCCATCCACTAACTGTGTGGGCTCCCTCACTCTGTTGAGTCCTCCTCCAGTGTCACCTGGACAGAGATACCTTCCCTGACCACTCTGTCTGAAATAGCACTGTCTGGTCCGTCTCTATTCCCATCCCTTGCTTCATGCTTACCATACACATATTGTATATTCATTTACTCCATGTATCTGTCCTCAACTGGAATATAGGTGCCATCAGTTTAGGGATTTGGTATTTTTTTACTACTGTCATCTCCATCACCTAGCACAGTGTGTGACACATGTGTTCTCAATCAAAGAACAAATCAATCTGATAGTATTGCTCTCCTAATTTAAAATCCCACAAGTTTTAATCTCATCTCTGTGCCTTTGCCCATGTTGATCCTTCTGCTTGGAATGCCTTTCCTCCTAGTGAGCCCTGAAAACTATTTTTTGTTGTTGTTACAGAGAGTCACAATGTTGCCTGGACTATAGTGCAGTGGCATCATCTCAGCTCACTGCAACATTAAACTCCTGGGCACAAGGGATCTTTCTGCCTCAGCCTCCTGAGCAGCTGGTACTACAGGCACACACCACCACACCTGCCTAATTTTTATATTTTTGGTGGATAAAGGACCTTGCTCATGCTCAAGATGTTACTAAAAGCTTGGCACTTGTCCTCAAGGCTGTATCAGAAAAACGAGCATGAGTGGCTTGAGAAGGAAAGAGTTTATTACTTTGTCATCAAAGGGGGAAAAATGGTAGAGCTTCTCTTCAAAAATCCAAATTTTCCCCAACATAAGCAGAAATATTGAGCCATTAAAGGGAGGACCCCTCAGTTCTAGGCTATTGTGGTAACTATTCTAATCATCCCATGTCTGCCAAAGACAAACCCTGTGATCTCTGCCAGCCCCACCTGCGAGACTGATGCCAGGGGTTCGATGGCTGATTCCCCAGACCCCTCTCAACCACATGCCTGAGGCAGGGATGCAAGCGTCAGTTCTGAAGAAGAATGGGGGAAGTTTTAAAAAAAAACAGAAATCGGCCGGGCGCGGTGGCTCACGCCTGTAATCCTAGCTCTCTGGGAGGCCGAGACGGGCGGATTGCTCAAGGTCAGGAGTTTGAAACCAGCCTGAGCAAGAGCGAGACCTCGTCTCTACTATAAATAGAAAGAAATTAACTGGCCAACTAATATATATAGAAAAAAAAATTAGCCGGGCATGGTGGCGCATGCCTGTAGTCCCAGCTACTCGGGAGGCTGAGGCAGGAGGATCGCTTGAGCCCAGGAGTTTGAGGTTGCTGTGAGCTAGGCTGACACCACGGCACTCTAGCCTGGACAACAAGTGAGACTCTGTCTCAAAAAAAAAAAAAAAAAAACAGAAATCATCCTTTTGCCTTTATTTAAAAATCAGGTAAATCCCTCAGATCCAAGGCTGGTCTAGAAATCCTGGCCTCAAGCCATCCTCCCACCTCAGGTCCCAGAGTTCTAGCATTATAGGAGTGAGAACCCCATCCGGCCAGCGTGGGAAACCCTTACTCATAGCTCATCAACTGACACAATGGCCACCACCTTTCTGAAGACCCTTGTTGCTGGAAGATATACCCATATTTTCTCCTCTATATTGAAAATAACTCAAAAAACAAAAAGCAGCAACAAAAGTCAACCCGAATCACATATTTCCTTGTCTCTGCCTAGACAATAACTTTCCTGGAGGGAAATGACTGTAACAGAACAGTCAACATTTTCTTCTTTTTTATCTATTTTTATATTCATTTTTTTTAAAGGCTGCACGGATTTGCGTCTCCTCCTTGCACAGGGGCCATGCTAATCTTCTCTGTATTCTTCCTATTTTAGTACATGTGCTGCCCAAGCTAACTGCACTTTTATTTTCTAAGTGGAAGCTGCATGTAGGAAGCCGGTGAGTCGCAAGGGGGCAGCAGAGCGCTCCTCGTCACACCGAAGCTTTCAGCACTGGGAACACGCGTCACGCCGGCCGGGCGCGGTGGCTCACGCCTGTCGTCCTAGCTTTCTGGGAGGCCGAGATGGGTGGATAGCTGCTGCTTCAGGGGTTCGACACCAGCGCCTGAACACTGCCTGAGCACAGCCAGACCCCGTCTCTAAATCTAAAAAAAAAAGGTAAAAAAGGCAAAAAAAATACACAAAACACAAAACAGCCGGGCGCTCTGGCAAGCGCCTGTAGTCCCAGCTACCTGGGAGGCTGAGGCAGAAGGATCGCTCACAGCCCAGGACCTGGAGCTTGTGGTGACCCGCCCTCACTGCACTCTGCCCAGGACGCCGAGTGACACTCTGTCTCCACAAAAAAAAAATGAGAAACTGCAATTGCAAAGATGAAGTGCTTGCAAATCCCCCTACCCCTTCCCCTCTTTTCAATACAAAAAAAAAAAAATTCTTTTCAATCACTCTTCTCTTTGCACTTCATCATTACTCCCACCTACAAAACTCTTCCTCATATCAAATACTCTCACACACCACAACTCACACTCACAACCACGCACAAAACACACACTCTCTGCATTACACCCCTTACCTCACAACACGCCCACACCCTCCTCACCCTCACCTCACCCCTCATGCACTGCCCTGCACTTGCACCACCCTACACACACCCATGCTCAACACGCACTTAACACGCGCTCCTCACTGCTCTGCTCCTTCTTTACACCCTATGCCCACACTGCACTTCACACCCTGCTTTACACTCACACACACGTGCTCACCCACCCTCTTCCTTATGGCTCGCTACCACTCCGTGCTACACACATACCACACTTTATTCACACACTCCCCCACTCACGGCCACTTGCCTTCTTGACACATCTTTCCCATTGTCAATTCTGCTGCTATAAACATTACAGTGCAAGTGTCTTTGTCATAAAATGGCTCCTTGTCCTTTTTGGAAATACCCAGGAGTGGGATTGCTGGATCAAATGGAAGATCTACTTTTAGTTCTTTCAGGTATCTCCATGCTACTTTGCATACAGGCTGCACTAGATTGCAGAGCCACAGCAGAGTATGACTGTTCCTTTCTCTCCACATCCACACCAGCATCTCCTGATGTGGGACTTTGGGGTAAAAGCCATTCTCACTGCAGTTAGGTGATATCTCATTATACTAGAATCAGTCGTAAGCCATGTGACAGTAAAGGACCAGCCACCAGATTTACAAACAACTGGCCATCACCCACTCCAATGGCAATATTTCAAACACAAGTAATATCTTAAATCCACCTCAGGCAGTTAGTCTATGTTCCTTGGGCCAGTTTCTAGGGACCTGACCCCCAATTTCCACATAAGCTAGGGATACTTGCTTCCCACTATCACTTCCTCACATGGTTGTTGTGATAAGTAAGTGTGGTAACTAAGGTAAAGCTAAAATGCCTGGCATACGCTAAGTGTTTCTTTGGAAAACATCACTATTCCCATAGAAAGAACCAAGGAAACTGTTACGGAACACAGATTATGTTCTCAGCACTCTGAATCCCTAAAGCAACCTAGTGAGGAAGGATAAGAGGTTAAATGAGAGGTTGAATGACAGCTGGGGTTTGAATGACATGCCTAAGGCCACACATTCAGCCACAAGAATAGCAGCTCACACTAAGCAGGTACTTGCCCTGAGCCAGGCACTCACTGCTCTGAGCATTTGCATGGCTTATCTGTCCCTTACAAAGGTCCTAAGCGGTGGGTATCATCATTATGCCTGTTTGACAGAAAAGGAAACTGAGGCACAAGGAATCGAGGCCACAGTCAGAATGTGGAGCATGAGTGTGGAGCTGGGGTGGGAGCTGAGGCAGTCTAGCCCTGGAGCCTGAGTTCTGAGGGCCACGCCACTCGGCAGAGGTGGAGTTTCACCTGAGGTCAAGCTGAGACAGAGCCCAGGCTCTTCCCACCACCCTACGCAGCTTCCAAGCTAGTGTCACCGAGAGCTCCGCACTTGTCCTCCAGGCCACATCAGAAGAATGGAGGCAGGCCTTTGAAGAGAAGGAAAGAGGAGTTTATTAATTAGCAAACAAAACAGGAGGATGGACAATGTTATCTGAAATGTCATTGTCCTAACAGTAAGCAGAAATACAAAGGTTTTAAAGGGACACAGTCAGCTTCAGGCAACTGCTGTTCCACTGCAGCTGACGACTCTGATGGTCCCATCTGTACCTGAGACACTCCCGTGAGCCCCGTCTAACTGGGATGCGCAGCTGGACCTCTAGGACCTTCCACTGCCAGGTCTGAGCCTTGGTCAGGTAACAGTCCTGTGGATCCATGCCCTATAGCACAAAGGACAAAGGACATCCCCCCCCACAGACACACACAGTCTGGCCCTAGGCAGGGATGAGGTCTTAGTTCTCCAAAAGGATTGGCGGATGTTTCAAAGAGACAGAAAACACTTTTGCCACATTTTCAGGCACGTCCTCTTCCAGCAAGGCCTGCTCAAGACTCTCATGGAAATCCAAACAACACCCCCACCTCGACCGCACTACAGCCCCCTCCACCCACTGCCGTGTGTCCCTCTTCCCCATCCCAACTGCACTTCTTAGGTGGCCTCTAGTCACTGCCTCCATTTCTTCCCCTCTCACTCCCGCCTCCACCCTCTGCAGTCTGGCTTCTGTCTCCTCCCCTCCCCGGAAACACCAGTCAGCAAGTCACTAGTCGCTTCCACGTCACTGAACCCACAGGACGTTCTCCGGGGCTCTCCTGAAAATCTGGAATTATCCGATATTGACACTGACGACATCTTCAGCTTCTGTGACAGATCCCACCTCGGGTCCCTCCCACCTCTCTGACTGCGGCTCTGTCTTCTTTGCAGGCTCAATATTCTCTCCCAGGACACTAAATGCACAGGGGCCTCAAGTCTTGGTCCTGGGCCTTCCTGTCTCCCCCTCTCTGTCCTCCTCCCTCTTCTCTGTCGTCTTCCCAGCTTCCATGTCACCTACGTGCCACTGACCCCCAAAGTCACATCCAGAGGCCAAATGTGCCTCTGACTGCAGACCCGTGTACCCGGCTGCCTCTGTGACATCTCAGCCTGATCGTGTCAGAGACCTCTCCACCCCACATGCACAGAACCAGCCCGTGATCGCTCCCGCCAGACCCCTGGCCCTTCTGGCACCCAGATCTCCACCCCCTTCCCTCTCCCTCCACTTAACTCCCCACCACGCTCTGTGCCTGTGGATCTTGTTCTGGTCTCCACACTCTGTCCTCTTCTCTCTGTCCCCAGGGTCACCATTGTCCCCATCCTTCTCACTGACATTTCACACGGTCCCTGAACTGGTTTCCCTGCTGAAAATACTTCAGTGCTTTCCCTCCATGTTCAAATAAAAGTCACAATTCTTGGCCTGGCCTCTGAGGTCCTGTGTGCTCTGTCTCTGTTCCTTCTCCAGCCTTGTAACCTCTTGGCTCCCCTTTGTTCTCAGGACTGACTGGCATCTTTCCACTGGCATGATTTTCCTTTCTCATACATGCCCTGCTCCCTCCTACCCCAGGACCTTTGCACATACTGTCCCCTGCTTTTTTAAAAAAGAAAAGAATTAATTTTTAGAATTTTTTTCTGTAGAGATGAGGTCTCATTATATTTCCCAGTTTGGTCATAGACACCTGCCTCAAGGGATCTTCCCACCTTGGCCTCCCAAAGTGCAGGGTTACAGGTATGAGCCACCTTGCAGGCCCGTCACCTGACTTGTGCAACAGGTCGTAGCCCCCTAACACCTATTCGTCCTTTGAATGTCAGCCCCATGGCCACCTCCTAAGAAAGGGCCCAAGGGTTTCCCCTATTATGTGCTCTCGCCCAACTCTCCTTCCTAGATCCGATTATGGTTGTAACTTTACAAGTTTCTGTGTGATCCTTGATTACTGGACTCTACTAAACTGTAAGATCCACGAACGCTGGGATGGTGTCAGGCCTTCCACAGCTGTGTCCCCGGTTCCAGACACAGTGCTGGGAACACAGCAGGCTCTCCGTGAATATTTGTGGAATAAAGGAATAAAAACTCATCGTTTTCTTTTTCCTGAATTTCTACCATTTCATTTACCACTTTGGATCTAGTGAAGTATCCGGGCTAGTTTTTGAGCTGTTTCTGTCAGGAAGAAGAGCAGAGTTGGTAAACGAGCAACAATGGGGTCAAGGACTAAGTACCAGTTAAATGCATTTCCTCTCAGGAAAGTGTTTTCATTAGAAACGTGGAATCAAGTCGGGTGTGGTGGTGTGCACCCGTAATCCCAGCTACTCAGGAAGCTGAGGTGGGAGGATTACTGGAGCCCATGAGGACTATAGAGGCAATCCTTGTATCCATAAGAAAAATAAATAATATGAGAAAGGAAGTGGCATCAGTCACACTTTGGCCATGATAGGAGATGGGAGCCATGTTGGAGGTGGGAGACTCTTTCACGTGTCACTCACATCAGACCCCAGCCCCCAGTCCACCTTAACTAGGGCTGAGGCCAGAGCTGGTGTGGGCTGTGACTGGGAGAAGAGCCAGACTTGTACTGACAACGAGTGGCCGCAGTGTCAGGTGAATGCACAGGTCCTCCCTGAGCCTCACCGGCTTCCTGTTCACGAGCTCAGCTGTGTTGACTGAGTATTTCTGCAGGGCACACTGTGTGCCAGGCACAGTGCTAGGGCTGGGGGTAGAGAGGAGTCTGGGGCTGACATGGTCCCTGCCCTTGAGTGGGGGAGACAGAGGAGCAGGAGATTACAGGCGACACGGTAAGTGCTCTGAGAGGCGGAAGCACTGGGGGAGCCCAGGGGAGGGGCCCTGGCCCAGCCTGGGGGTGGAGGGGATGTGCCCTGCGCCCACTCGTAAGGCATAAGTAGGACCCACCCTTGTCACAGGGGGTAGGGGACTCTGAAGGAAGGGCTTTTGGGCAGAAGGAGCACCGTGAGCAAAGGCACAGAGACGGGAACCTGCACGGAGTGTGGGGGGACAGCGGGGAGTTCTGCTTTGCTGTACGCGGTTGGCGTTGCCGGGAGCAGAGGCTGGAAGGGGAGGCCTGGGCCTGTAGTAGCAGCTGGGACTCCATGGCCAGGCAACGGGGAGGGCTCTGTGCACAACTTTCACATGGAAGTGACATATTTGTGGTTTGAAAAGGTGCCATGGCTTATGTAGTTTTTCTTTTTCTCCTTTTTTTTTTTTTATTTTTGACATGGGGTCTCACTGTGATGCCCAGGCTGGAGAGCAGTGGCATGATCATAGGTCACTGTAACCTGAGTTCCTTGTCTCAAGGGATGCTGTTCCCCAGCCTCAACAGTAACTAGGAGTGCAGGCACGCACCACTACACCTGCTAACTCTGCTACCTAAATACTTTGTAGGGAGAGGGTGTTGCCATAATGTCAGGCTGGTCTCAAAGGCCTGGACTCAGGGAACCTCCTGCCTTGGCATGAAAAGTGCTAGGATTACAGGTGTGAGCCACTGTGCCTGTCCCCTGGCTGCTGTGTTGAGGACTCACTGGAGCTCGGTGGGCACAGAAAGGCAGTCCTCCATCAGACACTCAGGACAGAGACATTTCTAAGGGTGACACATCTGGGAAGCAGTCACATAGCTGCAATATGTTTGTTCCAGAAAAGAGCCACTGCCATTAGTTTATTTCACTTTTAATTTGAAATTCTTTCACGTTCACAGAAAAGCTGTCAGATTTGTACAAAGAACCATGTAAAACTCCAATGTAAAATGTCTCTGTCCCTTGAGGGTGCCTCCAGCCCTTCCTGAGCATGTCAGGCTGCCTTTCCCTCGGCCACCACGGATCCTGAGCAGTCTAGAGGATGCCCTACCCCAGGAGGATGGAAGCCGGTCCTGAGTGACCTAGAGGGTGGCAGGAAGACGCTGGGGCCTAAGGGAAGTACTAGGGCAGGAGGGGCTGTCCTGGGCCGAGGTAGCCAAAGGTCCACTGCATACTTCAGCTCAGAGCCAGCCCATTGCCATCGTACCTGATTGCATCAGCCACCTCCTTGGGGTTCAATGTGGACTCTCAGCCCAGTGGAGATTCAAGCCAGAGTCACCTCACAGACAGTCCTGGGGGGCAGGGAGGTGTCATGTGTCTTCTAGAGGCCTCATTGTCTACCAGAGGAAATGGACACTCTCCATGCCTGGGGCAGAGAAGAGGCCCTGAGTCTCCTTTGCCCCTGTGGTAGTTAGTGCAGTGTCTGTGAAATATTTTCAATGAGACAAATACTGAGAAATGCATTTTTCATTATACAGTATACAAACACTCACACGCAGTACACAAACAATCATACACACACACATAACAGTGCCATGATTTGGCACAGTTTTGTTAAGACCTACCTGACCATAACAGGAGACTTACAATGCAGAGGCTGCTTTGGAAAGTAGCAAGTTGGTCATCAATAGAGATGTTCAAGTAGAGGGTGGGCTATTCTGGGGGGCTACATGGAGGAATTACTGCATGCAAAAGAAGGTCGGAGTGCATCACTGCTAAGGGCTTTTCCAGGCTTTGGTGTTGAAGAGTCTATACTGAAGTTCTACAAAGTCCTGTTACTGCAATGAACTGTCCATGCTCCATCTCTGCATTCGATCCTACCCAAAGACCTTGCTCCAGCAGTTGTCCCCTGCCGGAGTGTGAATATGTCTCGCCAAAACTCATACGTTGAACAGAGGTGGGTTCTTTTGGAAGTGATGAAGTTGTGAGGGGAATCCCCCATCAAACGGATTAGTGACCTTGTAAAAGAGGTCGAAGGAAGCACCCTAGCCCCTTGGCTCCTCCTATCATGTGAGGACACAGAGCAGGCACCATCTATGAGGACCACGCCCTCTTCACACACCCACTCTGCTGGTGCATTCATCTTGAACTTCCCAACCTCCAGAACCACTAGCAATACATTTCTGTGGTTTGTAAATCACCCCACCAAGAGTAGTTTGTTATAGCAGCTCCAATGGACGAAGACATCCCCTCTCTCCTATATCATCAATTTTTCCCTCTCTCCTGAATCATCTCTACTAGGACACAAATATGCTGTTTATTCTT